CAATGTAGCTAGCCAGGACTATTATAGTTTTCTATATCGGATACGATTGTTTCTGATATAATTGAGACACTGAAATTACACATTTCGATATTGTCTTTGTCCATGCCTTTCAAGAAACTTGAAATGGAATTTTCTTTGGGGCCCATATGCCTATTTCAGAGAATACATATTTCATATTTCAGAGATACATATTTCAGTGAAATGAGTATTATCCGATTCTAGTATGTTTCGACAATACCGTTGCTTCTTGGGGTGAAAAAAAGTATAAAGTACCTTTTGCTTTTTCAAATTTCGATTATAAGAACAAAATGTTTGTAAATAAACAAGAAATTAATAACAAACTTTGAGGCATTTTAGATATTGGATACGGTAGCACGAAATATCACAATCTACTTAATTGTCAGGTTGTTTATAATGGCGACGAAAAAGTGACAATGAGCTACCTTCTTTTTTATATCATGGGTACAATTATGATTCCAGCCCCTTTATTTGTAATAGAACTTGACACGCACTTTTAAAATAAACGCAGTAAGTACATGCTCAAATTTAAACTTTTTGAAAAATTAATTTCCTGCAGTAAAGTCAACTTTGATGTAAGTTCCTTTCATTCGGCAAATTCTTCTTTGGATGTAAAACCGTTCGTCGATTTGGGCCGCTACCAAAAAGCTTCATCAATCACCTCAATCCTTTGCGAGGTTGCAGCAGTTGTACATCCCAAAGTGCAGAAGGACCTTTCTTCCATTGTGTACCTGTTTGCAAGATTTATGCTGGATTCTAGGTAGGGTTGCCAGACGTACTGCTTTTGGGAGTAAACGTACTCCTTTTTATCGCAATTTGCTACCTTGTACTCCCAAAAAAAAAACTGGAAATGTACTCCTTTATTAGTTTTGTACTCCTTTTGCCAGCTATTCATATTTTATACAGGGAGTAAAATAATAACTGTTGCACTGTTTTTTTTTTTTTTGAAAAGGGATTTTTATAGATTTTGCGAAAAAAGGAGTTTATTGTTAATGATTCACAGATTTTACTTAAACTTTATTAATACGTTTTTAAATTTTTACCTTCATTTGGGTTTACCGGCGCTAAACACTTTGAGAGAAAAGCGCAAGTAAAAAAAGTGGTTTATTGTTAATTTTCTACATTTTACTTAAATTTAATTAATTAGTTTTTAAATTTTTACCTTCATTTGGGTTTACCAACGGGTTTGGAGGTTCTCCTCTACCCCTCTTCTTTTGTCAAAAGTGTGTAACATTTCATGTGGCACCTCTTCTGTTAGCAAGGGTATATAAAATGTCCCGTGCAAATGAATATTCAGCATTTTTCAAGCGAAAAAACGCAAGTGAAAATTGTGACTTTTGGACATTTTTCTAAGGATTCTCTAGGGAACCATAGGGGGCCGAGGTGGTCGGGAGTAATATTTTTGTTAATGGTGGTGCATGCCCTCTCCAAAAAGGTTATTTGGAGGTCCCACGCCTACTTCCCCTTCGATCACCATCTCTTTAACGACCGCCCTTACTGAAAAGCCAACCCATTTAGTTATTTATTTATAACATTTATTTTTGCTTTGAAAAAGATTTCTAAGATAACGCAAATTGAAATTCATGATATGATAAATATTATAGTTACGGACGATAGGAGGTACTCCCGATTGAACTGGCACTCAGAGTCTGGAAGTAAGTAGTGCGTTAAGTGCAGCTTGGCCGTCATGTAAACTTCTTCCGCTCCACCTATTTTCCACAACGTAGTCCATATCCTTGAGGATCGCAAATACCTCAGCAGCCTGGAAGACCGAAGCATACTTGCCAATAAGTTAATCTTATCCCCATTAACTCCGATAAAGACCTCAGATCCTGACCCAGAGTCAGTTTTGGAGCCATAAGTGAATAATCGATTATGTGTGAGTCCGGGCTCAGTGCTGGTATTGAGCCAGCATTCGGCCTCAGGGAATGTCTTCAACAAGGGTACAGGTGGCGTACTATCCTGTGACATTGAAAAGACACAAGTGCTCAGATCACTGCAGCTAGCAATTTCCGCCTGGCCCCACTCAGTGTTATACCAGCTGCGCATTCTTTAGAGGTTTTGTGTTCCTCGTTAGATTTGTACGATAGTTTTGTATCCAGAGTTACTTATAGATACTTCACTTCCGGAGAACTCTGAATTGTGACTCCTTTCATTGTGATAGCAATGAGACCATTCAACCTTCTCCGAATCCTGGTTTCGGACTATGCTTTAATGACGAAATATCTAACAATACATCTTCTTCGGACTATTTAACAAAAAACAGAGTTTTGTTATGTAAATTTATTTAATTTGTTTAAAATAAAATGAAAAACAGCTTTTTAATAAATAAACGTTTCAAAACTAGATTTTATTTTATTTCTTCATCTCTGCACATCGACATTATTCAAAGGATCTTTTAAACGCTTGAGAAAAACGTTCAAATTTGATTATCGAACACATCAACTTACTATTGTTTGTATGTAAATTTTACTCCCAAATATTTAAAAGAAAATCTCTCCTATCAAACAATTTCAATGTGGCAAAGCTATGCTTAATGTTTTCATCTGGAGAAATGTCAAAAATCTGCTTTATAATCAAAAAATAGTAGTAATGAAACTACCTTCTTTTTTTGTATCATGGTAATTTGTAACAATAAATTGCACAAAAAATATAAAAAAATGTACTCCTTTTGTATGTCTTGTACTGCTTTTTTTCTATCGAAAATATAAATGTACTCCTTTCTCCGTTTCAAAATCTGGCAACCCTAATTCTAGGTAAAAAAATTCCTTCACTACTTCAAAGATGTAACTGCCAACAATGATGAGTGTTCCAAAACGCGATGAATTTTCATGTGTTGCCAGCAGGTACTTTGGCTTGTCCTCATTCACCGCTAGACCAGAGGGGTTCGCTTTGAATAATTACTTGGTTTCAAACGGCGCGTGTGGGGTCCTTGCCAATTTGAACGGAGCTAAATGTCACTTTACATATCAATAAACAGTAAGTGAGACAGCAATAAACCCCTAAGTTACAGTTTCAAAACGTTATTGACACGTTGTTTGCGCGCAACCGTTTTATTTTGTAAATTTCAAGTGCATTGTTTTTGTAAAGTTCGAATAACTAAAGGAAAATTTTAAATGGGAAACAAAACTATATCTAAGTGAGAACCTATTTCTCAATTTAAAAAAGTGACTTTTCATCATTTGTTTGCAAAAAAAACATGACTTATTTGCATAACGTCAAAAAATTTCCGATTTATTTCTACTTATGATTTTATCTATGCTTTTAAAATTTTTTAATGAGTTGATTTTATTTTAATTAACCCGCCGTTTTTAGCCGTTTTCAAGAAAAACGGTTTTTCTACAGCAAAATACTGTTACAAAAGGCGAGTTGTTTGAAGTTTGGCTGATTGGATGTTCGAAAAAAGAAAGCTTTTTTTCGGTTGTCAACCATATTGAAAAAAAAATTTGATGCTGCTGATATTTGCGAAAGTTTCATGAAACTCTTAGAAGAAAAAACGCGTCTTTTTTGCAATTATTTATCAAAGAAAGACGAAGATTATGGAAAACAATTTGGAAAGGATGCTAAAATATTTAGATCTGAAAACTAGCGTTCCTTGCTGATGAAGTTCTTTTCCGAAATCAAAAAGCCAACTGTGTCGACCAGCAGCCGGATTCTAACTTTCGCTGTCGCTAAAATGCTAAAATATCTAAAAATTGCGGTTCTGTCCTCCCTTTCGCTGCAAACAGTTTAGCCTAAATTTTTTGGTGATAAATAGTGACAATGGAAGTATGTGATAGCAAAAAAAAAATAGCAGCCTCAATTTGGATTACATTTCGTCTCCTGAACGTAGCCCATGGCTATGTTGCAAAGATACTTGCGCCGATTCTCAATGACCATTGATGAGCAGCCTTGGCAAAAAGACAATTCCTTGAATAGAGCTTTGAACATTCTTTTCACAAATTAGTTTCAAAAACGTTCGTATTCTTTTCAGGAAGTTTTGGTAATTGTGTCACAAAGCAGCATTTGCATTCTGAAGATAAATAATATCGGTATAGAATTTGGAAATACTAAAACCGCAAGTGAAAATGAAGTGTTTTATGAAGACTGCTTTAGGAATCTCTGCTCAAGGCATATCTGCGAGACATGTAGTAAATATTTTTCTTTTTTTTAATTTAGGAATTTCGATAATGCCGTAATTAATCACTAGAAGAAACCATTTATGTATGTACATGTGGCCATACTTATTTTATTATGTAGCACATTTTAAGGGAGAGGGGGTTGAGTATGGTAAGAAAATAACTTGTGTCAAAACCAAGCTAATTGGACAATGTTTTTGAGAACTACATACTTAAACACATATGCTCACCATTTGAACATACAAAAAAGCAGAAAAGTCTATTTCAAATAATGCAATATTTTAGCTACTATTAATTTCGCACAGAAAAAGTAATCATTTGACCTAATGTGCATGGGTGCGAATGCCGAAAAATTAGTTTCAGTGCGATGGATTGTTCCTGTCGTTCTGACGGGGAATTTCAACGTTTTTTAGTTTTTGTATCATACCTAAATACTCATGAAATAGTTAGTCTTGTGTTCGATAATACGCGTTTCCGCGATATGACTGGCATAGAGTATTACAGAATGTAGATATTTATCGGCAGAAATGAGAGAACCAAGAATCAACTAGTTACTTGGTAGTAAGTACAAGGTTACATTAAGTCCTTGTTCTGACGGATGAAACGTATTTGCAAGGATAGTAATCGTAGCCTTATGATGATGTTGGAAGCTATTTGAACAGCGAATTTAGCCAGGGCTCCAATCACGGAATCCGTGATGGAATCATATTCGATTCGAAATTTTTGTTCGAAATTACGGCATCCCGTAGCGAGTTCGCTTTTCCATTTTAAATTGTATTGGAGAGAAAACGGCTGTCAATTTATTTCACTAAATTTGAATCGAGTAGATGACTATTTAGAAAGTGCAACTATTGGCTTGACATCTCATCCTCAAATTAGAGCTTCAAGAATGAAATTATTTTGGTTCATAACGACTAGTCATTTATTTACCAATGCAGTGTAGTTTCAATTGTTCGCGATATCGTGCACTTTCTGAATACGAAAAAGGTGGCAAAAAGTTAAGTCGATTAGAAATTCAATTGGTGGAAGGAACTGCAATGCATTAGTCAGCGCATCACTTTAACTGGCAGAGCTTTTGAAACTTTGAAAAGTGCATGCCTGTGCTTATTTCGTACACAAGTATATTTAGTATGCTTTTGCAATTACTCTTGCTTGTCTGGCAGTGCATCCATCATTGATCTAGTGGCTCGCTATTTTGTGCGCATTCACTACATACGATGTTTCGGTTCGATGGGAAATACAATACTAATTAATAGTAGAACGTTAATTATTTTATTACATATATAAATTACATAAAAGTAACAAGCATTTATGAAATAAAAATATTTTTTGCAACAAATCAATAAGCTATTTTTTGAATAAGCGTAAAAAAAAAAATAAAAATAATAATAATTGGCCAATAATGAAATGGGACGATTTCGGTGCTGGCTGCATTGGCGGTGAGTAAAATATTGGACTCTTTTGTGCAAAAAATGCAGTACACGTTTCATCATTCATACAGATATGTTTATTGCGATCCACCAATTTGTTCACTGTTAGTTAAAATGTGATGCAATGTTAGTACACTCGCAACATATGCATACATACATACATACATATGTATGTACAGTCCGTCTATTAGAAGCGTGCCCGCAACAACTTGGAAAGTACATATTTTATTAATTCGCTACAGACAAAGTGCATTTTTACATTTTTAATTTTTAATGCAATGTTATTAGTAAGGTGCATAGTGTGTTAAAACGGTTTCAGCTTTACGCACGGATAAGTCTGCCTACGCCTGAAAGAGAAGTTGACGACGTTTAGCGGCTTAACCCACTATTTTACAAACACCTTCGACTTCTTGAAGTACTATTCTACAGTTGCTCGTGACATTTTTGGTCATTGAGGCTGTGAACAGGGCAACATCACTTCAAATTGTCTTTCATCTGCGGAACTCATTTTATTAAAACGTTGTACTCTTTGGTAATTTTTCACGAAACAAGTGAATTTCAGTCTAAATTTTTTGTTTTTTTTTTTGTAACGGCCTAGTGTGATAAAATTTTGCCGGCCACGTTTCTATAAGACAGACTGTAGGTAAATACAAAATATATACAGAGTAAACAGATAAAAAATTGTCTAGCCTCATAAAGAGATCCATTGCCCCTGCACGTGTTCGGACATACATTTGTATATATGTACATACATTCTATATTCGTATCTTCCGCCTTCGAGTTTGTTCAAGTTCATGCCTGGCGCCCCTGATCTTTTGCAGTATTTTTGGCATTTGAAATAAAAACCTACTTTCACTGAGGCACACTTGTAATGCATATTTACATACGTGCACACAAATGTATGTTTGTATGTACACACATGCATGTAATATATATATATATGCACATTCGTACATCACTTTCATTCATACAAATATTTGCTAATTAACAAATGGCAGAACCGAATAAACAAACTTTTTTTTTCCTTTTTTGTACAGGTGCTAGAATTTGAAGTTATTTTTGCTTAGCACGAATTTATGCAAGGATGTTTTTTTTTTAATAATTATGCATTTTTTTTATACATATTAAGATAATACTTACAAAAAACAAAACACAGAATATATCTGAAACAAAACTGTAGGTTGTAGGTAAGGTTGAGTACAACATGAAAATATGTTGTTGTAGCCCCCTTTTTAACAAAAAAAAACGGTATTTTCGACTCTATTAGAGAATGACTATTTGATTTATTTATTTATACAAATGAAATATGTTTTAAAAAGCCTTAATGTTTTTTGCTATGGGCAAGCGCAATGAGTATATCAAGTTGGGTACAGATTGGTGGGAATTAGTAAATTGTTTTTGGAGATGCACTATGGTTGCAGTGTGTCGCAATTCTGCATATAAAAACAGTTTGAATACCGCAGTTTCCAAACATTGTATTGTGATACGTATTGGAAGTCAGCCATATTTTAATATTCCGTCTGGCAGATCGTATACCGTTTACTTCGTGAAAGCAGGAAATAAAATAAAGTTTCAAACTATCCCATTGCTCAACTATTATTAACACAATGCTTTCTAGTGAAAGCCATCGTGTTTGAGATATGCACAAGATTTTGTAGGGTTTTACCGAACAGTAGTCCTGAAATGCCTTCAGTTCATGTATCCTCTTTGGACTGTGGGAAAATAAACTAGTATATATGTTGCGGCACAGTGTCTCAATGCAATTGAGATGAATGAATGAAGTGAGTGGCATGTGCACTTTATATAAAATAAATCGGTTTTCGCACTCAGTAATGTTTTCAGCCCGCCCATCAGTGGCCAAACCAATTAGGTTTTCTTATTTTTAAAGGCCAGATTGGCAAATGTTTAAAAGGTACAATTGGCAAATATTTATATGCAAACGATGTTTGAAATATATATTTTTATAATTAAAAATTTAAAAACTAAATTCAACTATCCAACCAAAATCTTACTTTGCCTACCAACTTACCAAATGAAAAAGAAGCGATCAAATTTGGTCGGAAAAGACGAATAGTGGCAACACTGTTCGGAGCTTTTCATCTATCAAATTGAAATATTCGTGATTCTGAGGAAAATTAAATAAAAATTACAATTAAAAATAAAATTTGAGTTAAATTTCAATTTAAAAATTTCGTTAAAACCGGTTGTTGTTCTTAAACCCTTGCTTAGCACGTTTCTAAATTTCAGTATCAATATCAAAGCATACATTTAGGAAGCATTCTCCTCTCCATATGTACATATTTTGGCATTTGTAAAAAAAAATATGTTTACCTATTTAAAGAAGGTATCGTAGATCACCCCGTCCACCCCTTACATTGCATTACCACCTCTAAAATTGAGGGACATTTTTTTTTTTTATTGAAAAACGCAAAAGTATGACCTACCAAATAAGGGATGCTTTAGCTTTTGGTAGTATTATCGACTTCCGGTTTCGGCCTGAAGTGGGTCTAATTGACGGGAAGTGCATTTTTTTTTTTAATTTCACATACATACATGTTTTTACTACAGATTCGGATTCTGAGGGTAAAAATACGTTTGAAACTTTTTTTCTGGGAGGTGCCTTCTACAACCTCTAAATGACCCTCGAAGTAAAACTCGTCCGGCTCTTCTGAAATGAGCAAAAATGTTTTTATTGGAAAACGAGACGAAAAAAAAATAGATTACCAAGTCGAGGATGCTCTATCTTTCGGTCGAAATCGGAAGTCGGTTTGACAGACCGGAAGTCAATTGTTTTAACCAGAAGTCCATTCCAGAAAAGAATCCTAATCTGTGGTAAAAACACGTATAACAGTTTGGCAACGTATTTTGCTGTGAATGACCTTTTTGACTAATATCGCGACAGTTTATTTATAGCAATTCCATTATATATGTGCATATAAGAAAACTTTGTAATGCATTTTGCGCCTTCATTTTCATCTAAATTTTAACGTGAACCAGCTAATTGCCATCTCTACCGATCAAGTTACTTGGCGTTTAGCGCTTTCGTTTCTTTACACAACCAAAATATGTGTAAAACTACCAACTAACGAAGCAACGAGCTTGGTGAGAAGACCGCCATTGTAAATATTGTGAAAAATATTATCTACTTGTTGAATTTTTCATTTTATTTTTTTTGGTCGCTGTACTTGCATAAATATGAAATTAAGAGTTAAATACAAATTAAATTAATAGCTACAGCCATCCTTGTTTTTACATCCATAAGCATTATTGCAGGATTTCTATTTAAATATAAAAATTATTTATGTACGTACATATATGTACGTGTAGTTAAGCTTTCTTAGTGACAAATATTTTACATACATATATCGTAGGCGCATGTGGAGTACTCATCGGCCATCCTCTGGACACTATTAAAACATGGCAACAAGCATCAAACTCATCCGTTCCGAGCGCTGTGCGACAAATTTATAATCGAAATAATGGCGTAAGTGTTTAAGTATTTACATACTTTTAATACAAACATATCGTTCAAGTTCAAATATAAAAGACTTCAATTCAAATAAACTCTTTAAAGTTAAATGGCTTTTACAGAGGGATGCTATTTCCTTTTGTCACAACCGGTGCAATTAACTCCATTCTCTTCGGCATCTATGGCAACCATTTAAGGCAATTGCGACGGGTCTGCCACAGTGATTACCAACGTGAACAGTTGGAATACCAGAATATGTTCATTGCTGGATCCATCGCTGGCTTTGTGCAGTCCTTTATTGCATGCCCCATTGAATTGATTAAAGTTAGATTACAGACACATTGCTGTGAGTAACTAATTGATTAAAAAACCATATTTGCTCGCCCACGTACACACCTAGTTATTTTATTTACTCACTTGTAGATTACAACGAATACATTTTCGGGCAACGGCGCACTCCCTGGGGCGTTTTTAGAAAAGTCATAAAAGTGGATGGAGTATCTGGCTTGTATAGAGGTTTACTACCAATGATGTGCCGGTAAGTAGCATGATCAATGACGACTTCTTTTGGCACAACTACTTTCAAAATGATTTTTGTTTTCTTGTGCTTCTTTTTTCAAGTGATGTATTTCCCTATGGAATTTATATGATGGTTTACCGTCAAACCGTCGACTTTCTGGAAAAAACACCCATAGTGCAAAACAGGAGACAAGAACGCATAAAAAATGAAAATTCAAATGTCGACTTCTTTGTGACAACTTTGGCTGGAGCTTGGGCCGGGATCCTGTCCTGGGTATGCGTGATACCTTTTGATGTTGTGAAGACCATTATGCAAGCAGAAAGTAGTAGGCAATATCGTAGTATAAGGCATTGTTTGGTGAAAAATTTTAAGGTAATTTCTTAAAATCATATTTTAGGTACATACTTACATACATACAGTATTGGACATATCTATAGCACCCCCCTTTCAAAGCGATATTGTTTGCCACTTATGTTTAGTTATTAATTTTTAAGAATTTTCAATTAAAATACATTTCATTCTCTAACAAAACCCATACAAACCCATGTTTTAAACTTTTTAAAAGACCGCAAAAAAGCGCAACAAACTTTCCCTTAAATTTCAAAGTTTTTTCTCAGAAGCTCTAGAATTTTTTTGAATACACAGTTTTATAGCGCATTTAATTTTAGTCCAACAATGTCCAAGTTTCAAGTCGCTAAAGATTACCGTTGATTTTTTAGAATTTTTTTTGTCTCATTTGCTTCCATATAACGACTAAACACAATTTATTTTTATATGGCAGAAACCCGTAACATCCTCGGCGAAAAAAATTCTAAAAAATCAACGGTAATTTTTAGCCACTTGAAACTTGCACATTATTGGACTAAAATTGAATGGGCTATAAAACTGTGTATTCAAAAAAATTCTACCTATTCTGAGAAAAAAGTTTGAAATTTGGGTGAAAATTTTTTGCACTTTTTTGTGGTCTTTTAAAAAGTTTTAAACTTGAGTTTATGTGAGTTTTGTGAGAGAATGAACTGTATTTTAATTGAAAATTCTTAAAAATAAATAAATAAACATGAGTGGCAAACAATATCACTTTGAAATGGGGGTGCTATTATATTGGCCAATACTGTATGTACATACATACATTAAGTGTTAACCTACAACTATGTTCGTATATTCTTAGCTCTACGGTTGGCGTCGTTTATTCCGTGGTAGTTGGATGCTAGTGGTGCGTGCAATGCCAGTTAATGCAGCAACATTTTTAGGCTACGAATATGCACTGGAGTGGTTTCACAAGCTAAATGGCTCCTACATATAAGGCTTAAACTCAAGACTTATCAGAAAAAAAAAATGTCAAAAATTATTTAAAAAATAATAATTACTGAAAAACTAAGTGCAGGTCAAAAATATGCTTTAATTTTTTTTAATGCAAAGTTCATTTCTTTTTTAATTATCCTACAAGTTCTTGTTTTCTAAGTAGTAACTTTGAAACTTGATCGTATTTTATCTAGAAATAGCACCGACCTCATTTATAGACTTTTTGAGAAAAAAAACTGTTGAAGGGTCGCAAAATGGCAAAAATTGCAAATTTCAAAAAAAAAGTTAACAAGTAATTTTTACCAAAAAAACGACTTCACTTCTCATAAATATATATATATATATATATATATTTAATGATCCAATGATCGGATCTAAATCCGTTTAATATGGGAATACCTCTAAGACACTACCTTTCCGATGCAAAAAGAGTTATCGAAATCGGGTTTTAATACACTAGTCGAATGGAAATTTTAAGCAATGGCGTGAGATTTTCAATACGATTCGACTCTCGTAAAACGGCTTGCATTCGACAAGACTCTCGCAATGAGGCTGATTATAAATTTTTGGGAAATATGCATAGCCACATGTGATATCTAGGTAACCGCTTCTTGGCACAGTTGGCCTTGATACAACATATCAAGCAGCTGAAAATTTAAGAAATCGGACAATAACCACGCCCACATTCCATATAACGGTAATTTAGAGAAATGCGAAATCTTCGATAAATCAAATACTCAAGCTAATTTATTCAAAATTTATGCTTGCAATAATTCTTTGGCAAAAAATACGTGTATGATAGAATTTTGAGAAATGGGCATGGCACCGCCCACTTATGACCACATGTGTGTATCTCTTTAACCGTTCGACTAATTTCTACCAAACTCAGTGCGATTATTGTACTTGCCACATAAAAGCATAACGTTGAAAATTATTGAGATTGGACTAAAATCACGACCACATTTCATATAACGGTAAATTTGAGGAATGCTTGACACTTCTGTATTTCGAAATTTAAGGACGCTAATAAACTGAAAATTGATACTACCCACAATCCCTAGAAAGGAAGTAATATTATTATGGAATTTTTGAAAATGGGCCTGATACCGCCCATATAACTATATAAGTTTATCTCATTATATCTAACTGAAAGTTCTTCTATCGAAGATGCTTGAAATGGATGTAAAACCACTCCTGCTTACCATGCAGCGGTAGTTTTCGGAAAGGTACCAAACTATATTTAGGGCTAGTTTCTCCAACCCAACTTAACCTAGTGTTGCCAGTTTTTTAGACTTAGTCAAGAATAAGCTGCGTAAAAGGTAGGCTAACTTTTGACTTAAGTCCAAAAAATGGCTAAACTAAGTTAAGTTGAGTTGGAGAAACCAGCCCTTAATACTTGCGCGCCGGGTATTTAATGTCAATGTTTAATGTGGATTTGTTCATGAAATCACTTTGTTTTTAAAATAATTTCATAGATTGAGATTTTCGTATCTGTGGGAAAACAACAACTCTTCACTCATTTTTAGTTAACTCTTCGACATGAGATTGAATCTATCAGACGAATTGTATTTTCATTAATAAGTAGTTTTTTCTTCGGAAAAACTACATCCAAATTCTATTAATTATTATTATTATTATTTTTTGAAATATGTAAACAGCTATCTTCTCAAAAACTGGACGTGCTAGAAAAATGTTGTAAATACACTTCAAATCAGCATAAAAAAATCTATAAGATGAAGTTGGTCCCGTTTTTGAGATGAAATACGACCAAATTTTGTTGAACCGTGTTATTAATTAAGTAAAAAAAAAGAAAGAAAAGATGTCAGGAACTATAGAAAACAAGTCTTAAGAGTAGATATAAAAATATTTTATTATGCTCGTAAATCCCACAATACTAGAAAATTGTAAACATTATATATTAATATAAAAATATACCTGAATTATTCCTTCGATTTAAATTGTACTCTTTCAAAGGAAGTTCATTTTTTTTATTATAAATTTGCAATTTTTTTAAATACCTAATATGTACTATGTTCATTTTATTCATATTATAAAGTAAATATTTAACATTTACAGGAGGATTTCCCATACATTTTCATGTTATCGATTTCGATGGGATTAAGAAAATCGTCGTTTAAGGTACAACGCCGCATATAATCGTTCTGCAAAACCGCGTAACTGTCATTTTTTGCCAAAAATTGCTCTTTCAATCGTGTTTTTGCTACAGCAGGACAATGGCATAGGATGTGTTCTCGGGTCTCCCTTGTTCCCGTCATCATGCATTTCCTGCAAAACTTCACTGACAGCAATCCCCCATTTTGATTGCGTGCACTGCCAATATGTTATGTCCTTTTAGGACACCTATCATAGTTCTGCAAACTCTTCGTGCCAGCGATAGTATAAACCGGGTTTGAGTCCCGTTTTCCAGTTTGCACATGACTTTAGAGATTTTGCAGGTGTTTAGTGAATTCCATCTCGATATAGTTATAGCTTTTTCACCCTCTAGTATATTTCGTTATAAAGATTTTTTAGCGGTATCGGAATGTTATTCTATTGTTCTAGAACCAAGTGGATTCCGCTCTTGGCAATCTCATATACTATTTCGTTACCTGAAATGCCCTTGTGACCGGGGACCCAATAAATATGCAGTCGCCTGGTTTCTGCTGCCCTATTTATGGCCTCCCTGCTTCTAAGGTCATTTTGTGACGTAAATGGGTATGAGCCTTAATCTCTGCTTGACTATCTACGTATATGTTAACTTTACAGTTATTTTCAGTAATTGAGTATGCTAACTCAGCGGCTTTTCTCACTGCGAAACCTCTGCCTACTGCAGTGATTCGGCAGCTTTACAGGCCGACGAACATTAGGTTCTAAGCACTACACTCCCGCTCCTACTGCATCATTCATTTTTTAGCCCTCTGTGAAGAAGTTATATGTCTTATGGCTAGGCTTCATGCCTCTACACCATCTGTTTTCTTCGATAGTAACCCGAAGCTACTTATCCCAGTTATAGCAAGGTGCTATGTAGTCTGTGGTGGCTACATGCCCTTTGGCTATTGAGCTGTGGCCAGTGTTTCTTTGCTTGAACTCCCTTTTTGCAATCGGTCTCCCCACGGACTTAGCAGCAGAGGCTCTTTGCCGCAAGGTCGATCGGTGTTATATTGCGAATTTATTCCGTTGGAGTTGTTCTCAGTGCTCTTGTTGCACACAATAGAGAGATACGCTGAAAACTCTCCATTGCCTTGAGATAACCCAGCAAACACAGTCACTAACTTTAGACAAATTTGTATTTCTACATTAGATAACTAGGGTAATTCTCTTATCGTTTTCAAGTCGATGACGAAGTTAGAGAACTACATTAGAATTCATTCGAGAACGATTAGAGAAACGACGCAAATTCAAATAAATGTAAATAAGCACTATTCCAAATGAATAATGTTTAAGTTCAAATAATTCATTATTATTTTCTTGCAAATGCATTCAACACAAATTTTACAAACAAAGCGTGTTATTTATTAAAGCAAAAGAGCAGTTTTAAATTCATATTCGAATCTCATTAGAGATCAACATTAGATCGAGAACTATGTTTTGTTGAGATCGCTATGATTCTCGATAGTTTCTCGAGTCGTTCTCTCGTTCTCTAACGTTTGAGATTAGAGAATGTGGCTAGTTCTCCAATCATTCTCTAATCGATAAATAACCTCAATGTTTGCTGGGAAGTGCTTCATTCAGTCGCGAGAGCGCCATAGAGTAATATTGGCCTCACTATTGCTGTGTGGAACCAATGCATTAGGGCAGGGGATAGGCGCCACATAATACCTAGCATCTTTTTGCATGCGTAGAGGGCATTACTCGCTTTCTTCACTTCGTCCTCCACATTGTACCTCTACAGCAGTTTACAGTCCAGGATTAATCCAAGGTACTTCGTGCGGTCTTTTGGTTTGAGTGCCGTTCAGTTTAGGGAGTTTCCACGCAGGAATCTTGTACTTGAAAGTGCCTAAAGAATAGCCACCATTTTTATTGTGAAATCAAATTCAAACCACAAAATATCCACGAAATCGCACTTCCCTCGACAGTGGCAGATATATCAACCTTTAACAACCCAGTAACCTTCCGTAACGTATCTGACCAGTAGTTTCCAGCGGACACACTAAATAAATCTAAGGCATTTTTGAAACAACAAAGGCATTGTGATTTCTAAAAATACGCTAGTATAATGTACTTCAATATAATGACTTTCATGTATTACTAATTTATTTACAGGTATTGCAAAAAATGCAAAACAATTTACTTGTATTATTTACTTAAATATTTTTAACCGACTTCCAAAAAGGAAAAGGTTATCAATTCCACGGATTATATTTTTTTTATGTATGTTACCGCATAAATTTGGACCACGTCAACCGATTTTGTTTGTAAAATTTCGGAAAGGCAGTGTCTCACAGGAGGTCCCATACTAATTTGGTTTAGATCCGATCATTTCATCTTGAAAAAATTAACGGTGTTCCTACAATTATCCGGTTCGATGGTGAATCTGTCCTTGATGTAATCGGAAATCCATGGCACTTTTCCTCTCTTGATGATTTTTAGTAATAACTCGAATATAAGCCAGATCGGATCATATGTAAGACTTTTAGTAACAACTCGAGTCCATCTCCACCTGGCGGGTCAAACTGTGAATCTAACAATCCAGAGACCCCCTCAAACACACATACAATTTCGTTAAAATCGGTTCACTCGCAAACACACGTATAGTTTCAGTATGTTTGAAAGGCGCCACGCCCCTTTTTCAAATCGTCCCAATTTTCTCTAATTGATTTGATGTATCACCATACCAGGTTCGATTACTTAACCGAGAAGACTTCCAGAGATATGCAGTATAAAAATCCGGTTTGTATGAGAGATGCCATGCCCCCTTTTCCAAAAACATAAATTTTTTAATTCTTTAATTCTTTATTTAATTATAAGTCTTTGGAATACAATCCTTACAGACTATGTACTTAACTAATTTATAGATTACAAACTAATTTTGTGCATAAATCAAACCACTTATAAGGCAGAATTAAGCATCGAGAAAAA